TTTTCTTTTTCTTTTTTTTCTGGAGAATGTTTCATGTCATGCATGCATGCAAACCATCCATCACGTCGCACTCAAGCTGTTATTGTGTTGTGCAGCTTGTTTCTATTCATTGTGTTTTCCATGAGCCCTGTAGCTGCAAGCAACATATTTTTGCTGTGGATGAATTAGGGCAAGTCTTTGCTGAGTGTTTTTGTGCATTATTCCATTCTGAACTGAAATTGGCTTTTCTGTCTCACGAGCGAGATAGCCTCTGTCTACCTACTTCATTGCATTCCCACCTCTTTGAAAGAGCAAAGGGAAAAGAGTGTGGTGCAGAGGCACGTAAAATATTTCCAAACATATATCATAACAGCTGCTCCGTGGGGAGAAAAGCTGCTACCTGCCTAAAGTGGGTGGGCCTTTAATATGCCATCTCCTATGAAGTTAAGTGTCAGACCCAAACAGGCCTCACATTAGGTATAGGCATGTGTCAAGTGAACAACTGCAGATTAAATAAAAGTTAATATAAGTTATTAACAAAATAAATACACTTGAAACTAGATGGGTGTATAACAAGATAGGACTTTGGAAGTCAACAAAAAGCAATCAGAAGGCATAGAATACCTCTCAAATGTTTTAGATGCCGAGTTTTAGATTTGAGGGTGGTGGAGGATGAGCAGATTCAGGCCACACTTGGAACATGTGGCAGAGGAGCTCATGGACCATAGGGGTGGAGAAAAAGAAGATGGAAGATCTTAGAAGAAACGGGCTAAACTTAATGGATTTATGGCTTCTGAAAAAATTAGAAAAAAAAATTCTGACAACCAAATGGAAGCCCTACAGGTTGGATTGAAGCCATTTAAAAAGTATGTGTGTTTTTTTCTTAATTGACAGTAATGCTCCATTATGGCTTTTATGGGTCTGGTTTCCTTATTGCTCGAGATTGAGTCTAACTCCTGGCTGTATTATCTATTACATATTATATGTAAGGCAACAATTGAAATGTTGTGGGAGTTGGACTCAATGATCCTTATGGGTCCCTTCCAACTCAAGATATTCTATGATTCTACTCTATGATTACTACCTCAGAGAAGCATATTTTAGGCTTTATAATTGGTTTTTAAACTCAGTCAAGTTCTACATTGTTTCGCACGCATCTAGAAAGATGTCTTGAAGATGTAGTAAACTAAGGCCGGACAGTGATTAAAGAAGGTCAGTTATCAGATTTTGGGAGTATCAGAGTAATCTGAATTCTGAGCCTGTTGGATGAAAGCCCAGGGGACTGAGTAAGAGTGTTAGTAGTAAAGGTACTACTTGTGCAGGGAAGATTTTATACGGATTACTTCCATAATATCATTGAGACATTTCTACACTCTGTAGAACTACACCATGCTTTTGAATGGCGCAGTTCCACACAGCTAGAATTCAAACAGAACTTTCTTTTATATTCATTTAACAGCAGTGAAATAAAGGTGGGGTTTCTATATAAATGTTTGCTGTCAAGTAACATACCCTATCTGTGGAATGAAAATTTTCTACCGGGATGAGGGGCGATTCATCTTACGTTCATTCATCATTCACAGTAACGATAATAGACACTTATTGCTGTTAGACTGGTCAGTGATTATGATTTATTAACCCAGCAGGCTACCCCTCAGTAACAGCCAGCATTGCTTTTGCCATTTTTATGAAGTTCATTGGTAAAATTTCTTCTGCAGAGCTGGGCAAGCCGATGAGGCTAATCAGGACAAAGTTCAGACTTCGCCCAGTTTAGGCCACATTGCCTAGGTGCAACGTGCGTGATGCAAGGAGATGATTTCTACCCCAAAAAGCAATAACTGTAGCAGATGGGAGAGAAAGAAATCTGGACATTAATAAAATGTGGTCCTGAAATTGCAAATTACCGGTAGCTGGCTTAAAGAGGAGACTCAGGAGGCCAAGGAGCATCTGCAGACCTCTGTGAGAGAATTCCTCACTCTGTCTACATCGCAGACATTTTTGAAAATACAAGCGCAATGAATTTGTTACCTGGGGCATACCTCAAACCTAGATTTTGGAAATGATCAGAAAGGGAACTCATGTTGGTGCAGCTAACAGTGATTGCTGCAGTAGAAGTCCTGCTGGGGTTGCAGTGTATTTCTGTAAGAAGGTGGCACTGGAATTGCTACAACCATGTAGCTAAATTTATGTCAGGGTTTCATGGAGATGGCCTTGGGGATTTCTAAATGCTTATTTCTGTAGCATAGTTTTGAGTCAGTTCTTACAGTTTAACCTTTTCTGTTTTAATAGAAATGATTGAAAATGTATTCTTCAATGTAATTCTTACAAAGTTTTTTCATTTTGTGGAGAGAAGTATTTTGACAAAACCTTAAAGAACAATACTCCCCATGTGTGAATAGGTGCAAATCACGTCATGTGGATGATTGGTTGTGTATTAGTTTCTCTGCTGGTCAACTACAGTGCTTCGTTGTCTATTGTCATATTTAAAGCTCGCTATGGGAATACTTTCTAAATATAACTAAACACAGTGCAGGTTTCGAAAAAGGTTAATATTAAAGTTTTTTCAAATAATATCAGGAATTAAAAAAGCAAAAACTATGGTAAGTATTTTGCTTTAGATAGGAACAAAAAACCCAAACCAAAACCCAAATTGTTTTGACTCTTTCTCATGCTGCCCCACAAAGTTTAGGCCAAAAACTGCACAAAATTATCAAAGTCACTATACAGCCTGGTTTCATATGTTTTTTTCTAAATCGTTAAAGAAAACCTATAATAATAAGTTTTAGAAATTGGGAACAAGCAGAAAGGCAGAGTCTGAACAAGCTTGGATGTCCCTTGCAGCGTGCTAGTCAGTAACTGCCAGATTGAAGTGAATAATGGGAAAGATGCACTAAGTGCTAGAAATCTATGTGAATTGTTTTTCATGCTTAAAATCTGCGGCCACATCAACGTTAGTACAAATGAGCTCATTTTGAAGTTCTGTCTTTAAATTCATGAAACGGACCTGCTCAGAACCCCCCTACACCCCATCTGGAGGACACAGGCCCTGTTACTCAAGTTGCTCATGGAGAGGTGAGCCACGGTGGTGCTGCACTTCTACAGCTCGTGATTTAATAAGGACTTTCTCCAGATGGAGCAGAGATCATCTTTGGGTCCGCTTTAATTATGTCTTGGACCTAATGTGGCCCCGCACGCAGAACAGAGGGTCACTAGCAGAGCTCGGGGACAGCTAAGGTTGGGGCTCGGGGAAAGCGCGGATGATAATACTAAACGCTTGAGAGGCTTCCTTGGAGAGCACTTCAGGTGCCGGATGCAAACTCCCAGGTTTGCTGTCACCATTTTTGCAATGCCTTTCTCAACGACGGAGCTGCAGGCTGGAGGATGCTCTCCCAGTTTCGATAGACCTGTGAGCAAGCCGGCACGCCGGGGATATCCAGGCACTGCCCGGAAACCTTGGACAAGACAGAGCAGTGGCAGATGTGTTGATGATGTGTGTGCTTTCGTATTTCAAATCTGAAGCAAGCTGGTTATCTGCCTCTCCTGCCCTTCTGCTATTTGCCCAAACTTGTCTGATACCTCATTTCGAAAGAGAAGGAAAGGACTGACATGAAGATATCTAGAAGATACCTGACATGAAGATATGCTAACGACTGCAGTAATGCTGCAGCATGGCCTACTGACGTTATTAACGCAACTCGTACTGGGATCTGTATTTGTGAAATACGCTCTCGTCTATACGTCCCTTATCCTAAAGTCTCTGGTATGTTCCCAGCACCTCCCCATCCTTAAGCAAGATGAATAACTGTATTTAATCTAGCCAATAAGATGCATAAATTAATAACCATCCTGGGTTTTCCTTTAAGGTGTTAATAAGGATGACAATTAGGAGCTAACTACAATTCCCACGGTTAATTTAGGGTAAATTTAAAACCACAGATGCATCGATATTTATTTATTTTTATAACTTGATCTTGATTTTAAAAGACAAGGGTTTTTTAAATAACCATACAAGAAAATGCTCAGCTGAGGAAAACACATCTCTCTTTGTAAGGCTGATTTTGTATTAGCTAATTTAAAAATGTGCGAGGCACATTCAGTTACTTCTGTGGTGCTTTCTGTATGGCTAATGAGAAACGTGGAGGGAAAAAAATTCAAACCGAAGAGTTTTTAAGTCTGTATTTCAAATGTTTTATAATCAACTTTAAATCACCTTTGGACTTGGTAATGTGCCTTGAACTGTGCTTCTCGATGGAATGACTATTAAATTAGTCATAATAATATGCACATATGTTATATAAAATTATATAGTATATTTTTATAATGTATTACCAGGGTATTATTTAAAATATTTTTAT